CTTCTCTCTCTCTCTCTCTCTCTTCTCTCTCTCTCTTTCCCTCTCTCTCTCTCTCTCTCTCTTTCCTCTCTTCTCTATCTCTCTCTCTCTTTCCCTCTCTCTCTATCTCTCTCTCTCTTTCCCTCTCTCTCTATCTCTCTCTCTCTTCCCTCTCTCTCTATCTCTCTCTCTCTTTCCGCTCTCTCTCCTATCTCTCTCTCTCTTTCTCTCTCTCTATCTCTCTCTTTCCTCTCTTCTCTCCTCTCTCTCTTCCTCTCTCTCTCTCTCTCCTCTCTCTCTCTCTCTCTCTTCTCTCTCTCTCTCTTCTCTCTCTCTCTCTCTCTCTCTCTTTCTCTTTCTCTCTTCTTCTTCTTCTCTCACTCACTCACTCACATGCACGTGCACATCCAGCAATCATTCACACAATTTTCATCTATAGTTGAAAATTTTAAAAAGTAGTTGCAAAAATATTACAGTCATTCCTTTCAGCTTTCAATTTGCACATTTTGTTAATGTTTGTCTCTCTTTCAAGATTTGCAGAATTTGTGGAAGGTGGCATTTGGATGATGACATGATCCTTGCTTATGAGAGCAACCATTTAACTCCAACACGTCTAGATGACGAAGAACTGTTCCTCACAACAGACAGTGAAGAAGATGCTGACTGAATTCAAAGGGAACAAGTACTTTGCTTTAGTACTTAAGATTGCTGACCAATAAATCACCTCAAAAGATACTTGAGACCTCAAGTGAAACTGCCTTTCTTGTTTTTCATTGGTTATTTGTATGTGGTTTGCATTATCAACTGGTTTCAGTTATATTCCATGACTTAAAGAATGTTTTTGTAAAAGTGATAGACACTTATTTTCAATACATGTATTCACTCAGCAATAATTTTGTCCCTAAGGGATCGAGCTGGAAGTTCTTGTCTGTATATATTCTGTCAAAACCTGTGTATTCAGTAAAAACTACTTTCTTTTCTCTTTGCTAAGAAAAAATGTTAATCTCTAGGTTACTTGCATTGATCTCAGTCACTCAAAAATGTATATCCCCAGATATCTTCGAACTTGGTATGTATAATAATTATTATTAGATTTGAGATTCTCATTTTTTTGACACAAAATAATTTACTATGCAACAGCCATTATGTTTAGTATTAGGGATTGTGAATGGCTTTCACCTGTAATACCTACTTGTGTCACATTTCGGGCAATCCTTATGTATCTGATTTCTCTTTATGTCCTGGTCCCTTTTGTATGCGTTTTTGCATGAGGTAGTTGATCCAACCCAGTGCTCAATAACTACTCATTTCATCCCCTCTCTTCTTTCATCATTCATTCATCAACCAAGTGCAGTTCAGCATACTTTCCTAATTTAAGAGAGAAATAGCTAAGTTAAAATTGGTAATTAGCCATGTTAGGTATGGATGTGACTGGTTTGGCAGAGTGCATGAAACAAGCAGGATGACATGAGAGAAATAGTAAAGGACAATTAGAGATCCATTAATGTAGCATGCACTTAATTTTACAAAATGCTGATATTGTGATTCCATATACTATCTACTAAAGTGTATGTAAAGTATAGCAAAATATTTGTTTTTTCTTTTTTTGTGTGTGTGAATCCATTGAAAATAAAATCATATGATCAGTGAACTTTGTAGTCTATTTTTTGTATAGACTACGTTGATATCTGCTTGACCTAAGTAACCTTGAAATGTTTAATTAGGACTGCAGTGTCAGCATTTCCCCAATTAACACATTTCATCATACTCTGAGGTTTGCAAATTTTCAATATCTTCAGTATCTCTGCATTATATCCCTATACTGATGGTGCCAGAATTTTCTGTGTGGCACTCATTCTGGTGACTACTGGCAACCGTCTAGCCCTATCAGCAGGGGGTTCGCAGTGTACAGCCGATCCTTCCTATTCATGATGCAATTACATGTGACCGACAAGAAGGGTGTTTTCCATGATGGGTATAGCCATGCCTGGCAGCTGGGTGATATAGATGTAAGTGCAGGTATCTATGAAGATTGATTGCCATTCGTTATGGACCATGTATATCAACAGTAACATTAAACAAGTATTTTAGCAGTAATATTTTAAGCGATGAGTGAGATCAGTGAACAATAATGGAATTACACTGAAAGTTCTATACATACATTGTTCATGTAAACTCATTTCTCACAGAAAAACATCCAGACAACAGAAAAGATAAACATGTGATAAAAATTACATAGCTAGATAAAGCAATAATACCAAATCCATCTTTGTATCACCCAGCTATCTATATACCAACATCTCTTTCTCTGTGACATATAAAATGCTAACTTTTTGGATCTCTAAAATACCGCTGATGCAATTTTTATATGCATTGAGTGTTTGTTTGCTATTTATACTCTTATACAAAGTATGAGAATGATAACTTGTATTGTAACTCCATTGTAACTTTATAAAAAATCTGCCAAATAGTGAATAAGATTGATGTGAATTTTCTCACTGAGAAGAGTGGTTTTTGAAACGATACAATTATATGATTATATTTATTTCTGCATCTACAATTTGTAATGAAATATTGTAAAAGTTTACATACATAAATGAAACAACTTATAATCGGTCTTTTGATTAGCCATCTCACAATATTTACTGCAGAACTCTTGGAGACATCTTTTCTGTTAATGTACGACTATTATAGATTTCCTATTCATTGACCCCCCCCCTAAAGAAATTAAAAAAAAATCTCTGGTCATTGTTATGGTTTGGGCACAGGAAATAAAGACATTGCTTAATGTTGGGGATCACCCTTACCTTGGACCTTAGCCCTTGCCTCAACTAATTTTGCATGCTCTTTTCTTCTACCCCTCTTCTTTTCCTTCTGTCCACTTCCTAAGGTGCAAGAGCCATGCTGAAAGGATGTTTTTTTCAGTCCTGAATGGCCTTGGGAAGTCATGGGCCTAGTATTATCTTGGCTAACCCAGAGTCCCTAAAGGAAAATGTATTCACTGTAGTATTGATTTATGAAACGTTTCTGCACATAGACATCTCTGCAAGTGCTTAGACACGAAAGAGTCAATTAGTAGACCTTGTGACTTGCCTGATTTCACTTTTCCTTGATGTTGCATGAAAAAGGCCTTTTTTTACTATTGCAATCTATTGTGCTGATTTTTCTTTATGATATATTTATTAAAGTCTTCTTATTAGATATTGGTGTATAATAATTGGATTCTCTTCCCTATATATTTTGGCCAATAATAAAGATTTTATTCCCTTATTTGGGGCTTGACCCTTTGTCAACTAGGCTGGCAAAATTTGACTTCTTTGGTTTCCCGACCTCTCCTTTGATCATATGGGTTTAAGGGCATTTAAAGTGAGTGAGGGGGAGGAAGGTTAGGCATCAGAGAAATAGTAGATATTGGTATATCTGGATTTAGAATGGATAGGGAGAGTAGAGGTAAGATGGTTCAGGGCAGAGGGGATAGATTCTGGGAAAGATGCAGAAACATCTTGTGGAGATGGGGCTGGAGCAGAGCAAAGGACTTTTGGAATAGGTTTAGAGCAAAAACTCGTAGTTGTGCTTCCTGTCTAGTCTCACATAGAGTGAGGCCAAATTGGAATCTAAGAACTGCTACCTCACATTTGAGCTTGAAGGCAGGGCAGCTCCTATAAGATATGTTATGGGAGTCACCACAGTTGGCACATGTACATGACTGAGCAGGGCAATTTAAACAGTCATGACCAAGTTGGGCACATAGAGGGCAGCGGACTGTGGAGCGACAGTGGCTGGTGGCCAAAACCGCCATTTCTGACATTGACAGGGAAGGACTTGATATGGTCAGACATGGTAGGACAATCCACCAATATAAGCTTTATGGGGAAGGTCATGTCTACAGAAACTAATTTTGGCAATATTGATATTTGCACTCCCCTGGAGGAATAGTGTAACACTTACTGCTACTGCAATCATAATCAGCAAGGCAGGTAAGTAGGTCATTTTCACAATCTGACCAGCTCTTTCTATATATGGATAATCAGTCAGGAGGATAGAAACAGTTCCAGTACATGTATTAAGAGTTGGGTAGGGTTCAGCTGGAATGGGTTTGCCAGTAAGATCAGTTAGGCTATATAGTGCACAAGCTTGGGATTCTGATAAAAGTGACCAGGTGTAACTGGTAACTTTGCCTACTTGTTTTTGGTGATACTGTTGAAAGAGAAGGGCATTCCCAGAGTGGGGGGCTGTGGAGAATGACAAAGAATCGATCCCACATGCTGGGCCAAAGAGAGTACTCAAAAAGGTTTGCAGAGGTAGAGGCAGTGAAGGACAAGGCGGGAGGAAGATTGGGTAGTGTAGTGGAGTAGTTCTGTGGGAGGATAATAAAGGGTGAAGAGTAGTAATAGGGAAGTAGCTATTGAAGAAGACTGTGCAATAGATATGGAGAGAAGAATGTTGGGAGAGAGGAAAGTGCATTCTGAGTTGACTAATAACCTGGATGGGCTTCAGAATGGATACAGAGTTGTCAGTAAATATTGAGAAGGGTAAAATATCCGGTCAGATCCGTAGTCAAAGGGGGCAGAGGTCGAAAACCATAAAAATCTAAATCAGATAGGCTAGTTGATGCCCCTATTAAGGGTAAAGAATCTTCATTATTGGCCATGGTGAGCCTGAATACAATGCAAAAAATGGAGAAGAAAGAGAAGAAAGAAAGGTCAAGAAAAGGCCTTGAAAAATTAGTTGAAGTGAGGGATGAGGCCCAAGGCAGGGGTGATCTATATTGTGTTTCAGTCCCCATCTCCTAAGCCCTGCCACAACAACGACGGGCATGGGATTGGGGGGATATACTGTACTGGCACAAAGTCAGCCTTTTATCCTTTTAACATGGCTCCCACACCTGATGAAGTGGAGAAGAGCAAGAAAAAGGAGAAGAAAAGTCTGTAAAAAATCATTTGAGTTAAGGGATGAGATCCAAGGTAGGGGTGATCCCCCAGCATTGGTCTCGTTCTCCATCTCCTAAGCGCCCCATGGTAACAACTTGTAGATATTGCTTCCAATAACCTATGAATTACCCCGTGACCCCTGATGCCCTTGCACATGTACTCACAAATTTTATATTGTAAATAAGACCAAATACTGAAAAACAATTTTTTTATTACAGCCTCAATACATGAGATTCCTTACACCATATCCTTCAAAAGCATGATCTTCTAAAGTAAAACTTCTGAGCTTACAAACTGGCACAAAACTTTGTTAAGCATCATTGTTTGGGAACTAATCAAACATAAATGTGCCCACTCCTAAAAATGAAACTGTCTCACTCACAACTTTAAACACAAAACAACCACAGCTTAATATAATTAAAAACTCTGGATCATTAATTAACTAGAAAGTGGGATATAAAAACAATTTCTGAGTAATGTACCATGAGAGATATGGTTCTAAAAATAATTGTGGCTAAATACTCCCGGTAAAGACAAAAATGCATTCAAAAATACACAATTTTTAAAAAATATTCTTTATAACTGACAAACTTTTCCCATTCAAATTTTTTTTTTTATCCAAAAAAACAATACTCCTTGTGGTTGGTTTTTTCATGTCTGTTACACTGCTTCATCACAAATTTGAGCAATGGCTCCTTTTATGTTTTCAATAAATGTTTCATGTATTTCCTCTGCAGACGTGCTTCCAATAACCTCTACTTTGGCCGACTCATCAACACTGAAGAATAGCAATGAAGGAATAATACGTATAGAGACTAAAGACCTGTGTCGTTAGTTGTCTTTTGTAATGACAAAAAGAAAATGAAAGTTAAATAAAAAAGATCAGAAATGAAATATACCTTTGTACATAAAATTCATACTAAATAAACATTCTTCACAGAAGATTACCATGCTAGAAAATTGAACCCAGAGTATTGAATTCTATTCTATAAAGCCTCTAAATTCTTCTTCAGTTATTGCAACAAGTGGATTAACACCAGTAATCAACCTGATCTGTGACAAGATTCACTCTGTAGTGTTATGGTTGAGTCTCAATATACACTGTAAAACATGAATTCAACCAGCACTCCAAAAACTACAAAGAAATTGAATATTTTCTGTTTACAGTCTGTATAATTGCAGTTCAGGAGTATCACATCTGAATCTCTTTATTACACAAATAAATATCTCGATTTACACTCTTTCCTCAACTCAACAGCATTAATTTTAAAATATATATTTTGAGGTAAGTCACTATATATACACACACAGAACATTGATATCATGCCAGTTCAATCCTTAATCTCATGACCTCACTATAATCAATGTGCATCTGAATGTAAAATTACCAAACTTAACCCATTCACAACTTGGTAAAATTTTGGGTAATGTTTGGCAAGGCCTGAGTATATTTGCAACACACTGCTCCACACCTGAGCTATTGTTGTCCGGCTCATAAGCTGCCATCCTGGCCACCAGGAAACAGGTTCACATCATTATATGTCACCCAGTGTCTGTGGCTTATCATTTACCCAGCATGAATGGGTTAAATTTGATTTACCAAGAGTAAAAACATTAAAAAATTATTTACCTCATTTGCTGCTTCAAAATTAGAGCATAAATTCATCTCACCAACTGAACATGTATAAAACCTTTTTGTGTTGGAAGCAAGTGGTTCACATGTACTTTATCCAACTCAACAGTAGTGGGATTTCTGCTTGCCAAACCAAGCTATGTGCTGGGCAAACACACGCATTCAGCTAAAAATTAGAAGCTTGGGGAGCACATATATACCTGTGCGCTTGGCTGCAGCTCCTAAACTGTCACACTCTGAGCCAAAGTGTACAACTGTTCAGGGCAAATAACTTGGAGTTGACCACTTCACATAGTGTGTATCTTTGCAAATCTGCATTTGCTTCAGCTCGTTATGGCAAGAATAGATGTACAGTAATGGTTAAAAATATTTGATTGTAAATTATGAACAAGAAACAAAATTTGAATATCTAAATACTAACATTTACATTTTTTGTTGTTCTTTAAAGTACACGGTATTTGTTTTTCATTGTACCTATGATCTAAATAATTTCCATATATTTCATCACACTTTCTCCAATAATAATCTAGCATAACTGCAATAAGGCTACATAAATGACCTTGCAACCCAGACAGGGACTGGCTTCAGCCTAGTAACATGAAGGCCTTAACTATTAAAATAAATGAAAATACAGTTAATTGCAGATAGGGTGCAACCATAAGGCAATGTAGTCGCACCTAGAGAGTCATTGCAAGATAGTATTGAGCACTAAATATAAAATACACAAACTCATAGTCATAAAATGTATTATCTACAGTCAATACCTATATTCTGATTATATGGCACATGAAACTATCAACAGGCATGACTACTTACTCAAGAAGAAATGGAAATAGCTGTTACATACCTGGGCAGTTCTATGTTGAAAATGAATAAAAACCTCATTCTGAAAGCCAAGGTGTGAATACATATAATGTGCCATAACATACCTATCATAAAAAAGGAAACAGCCTAATATACATGAAAGCTTTTCAAAGAGTAGAGTAGTGAGAACAAAAGAACATCAGTGCCTATAAAATAGATATCATTTAGTGTGGTGAGTCTGGAAGACTGCAAAGCTACATCTTCTTTACCTACAATCCACATATAATCATCTTCCTATACAAAAGAAAAAGAAAGACATAAAGAAAGAAAAAAAATCAAATATAACATCTGCCTCTATTTATTTGTACTACTGCATATCTGAAAATATACATATCAAGGTTTGCAACTCTATTACGACAGCTACATAAATATTTTAGATAGAAGTGCTTTAAGATCTAAAAGAATATTTAATATCAAGTTAAATGAGAATTCACAGATAAAACTTTGCATATGATGCTGAGAAAAATAACTAACAATTCACTAACTAAGCAGGAGCCATACTAGTGTCAAAATGGGACTAAAAAAAACATGATGACCTATTCCCTCCTCACCTTACATAAAATAAAAGGCAATGACTAATAAAGCACATATTGTCAGGAACTGTGAAGTATTGAGGAGTCAATACTGTCCAATAATCACAGCAGTAGAGGGAGGACACCAATGAAAGGAGCAGGCAAGTTGCCACATACAAATCTTCATGGTACTCACTTCCCTTGGTGAGAAGTGAGCCTGGGAATTAGTCTAGTCCCAAGAAACTGCCATAAGAAAATATCAAATGTACCACAAGACAACTCATGAGAATAATGTCTATGTACAAGCTTTTTGCTAGAAAGCAAAGAATGGCAATCTAAAGAACTATAACTACACACACACAATTTTAACTTCTTTGCATAAAAACTGCCCTTCACTTTTTCAAAAATTTCCAAAGTAAAACAATAATACATACTAAGATTTTTTGTTACAGTGTTAGTCACTTTAGATACACACAATGGAAAACCTTCCTTTTTTTTTGTACAACAGAAAAATATTAAAGACAACCCCTTAGACACTTCATCTACTTTCCCAGTACAATAGAACCAACAACATGAATGCATCCATTATCAACAAGTACAAATATACCTAGCTATCAGACAGACTGTCTCAAAGGAACTGAGTTTCCACAGCTAACCTCTGTGTATCTAATTAAGGAAGAATCTTGGCAGTGTTGGTTTGGAAAAGCAAATAAGATGTTCTTTACCAATTACTTTAAATGTAACCTAAAAGGAAGAAACCCAGTACGATCTGATATGCTTCTCTTTTTCACCATCTTTATTTCTGGGATAGACATAAACCTTAGGGATAAAATTGTAACCCTAAAGCATGACTGTCTCCAAGTCAGATCATCACATATCACTGAAGGGGCTTGGTGTTATGGTCGAAATGTTTTATCAACGTTTTTTTCTCCACCTGATGATGACCCCAAGAGAGGGCAAACACAGTATCTATCAATTACTAGTTACTATATTATAAAAATACTATTGTAGATTAGTGGCCATTACTGTGTTCATATGGAGCCAGATCTAATCTAATATTGCATAATTACATCTGCATAATAATATATATATCTATATATCCATCTTTCTTTTTGTTTCTCTCTCTGTCCTATATACAATATATATCTATATATATATCAAAACAAAACATCAAAATATAAATCTCATTTGCAAAGAACTAAAATTTCACATCTATAATTTGATAAGCGAGATAAACTGCTTTTATCTCCTATACCCAATCCACATACAAAATGTGCTTACCATTTAATTTAAGGCTTTTATTTAACAACCTTCACATAAAACAGCAAATGAAAAACTCAAGAACATGCAATGTTCTCTTGACTTATTATCAGAATAATGGAAAGGTTATCCAGTAGGATTTCTTATATATGAGATTTGTTCAATTTATCAAATGGAAGCTACATCCTTCCTCCTTATCCCTTAAAAAAGTAAATTTTTAGTTAATTTTCTCTGTAGACTTTCTTCTATCCTGCAAAACTTACACATATGATACATTCAAAAATCAACACATAACCAATGCCATAACTGTAAGGCATATCAAGCACCAATATTATAAGCAAGCAAAAGAAAACAAAACACACACACAAAGAGAAAGCACATACATGTTCAAGTTCTTGCACACACAAACTCACACACAGTTGTTGAAACTGCCATAAACACTATGTACTGTTAGCACCATATGAAGCAAATTATATCTGACTCCATGTGACCCTCTGACCCAATGCTAGAGGTTGAAGGCTAGGCAATTAGTGCAATTAATCATACGTAATGCATTATACATCCCCTGGCGACTCCTTCTCCTTGTATTGTGTGCTCTAGAAGTTTACTAAATGCACTGTCGCAGAAGCTCATTAAAAGTTTACCTTAATTTTTTTGTTTGTTTTTATATATCATTATTAACAATGCTAAATCTGAATATTATATTTTCTTTCAATCCAAAAAAAGCCCCTACCCCCCAAAAAAAAAAAAAATAATAATAAAAAAAAATTAGGAGGTGCTAATTTGCCTCCCATAAAAATCCTTCTTTAATTTTCCCACAAGAACCTGTGACTGCTTCACCACCAGCACAGGCACACAACCCTCTTTCATAATTTGGTTGAACGGGGATGCGAGTCAGAAGAGCTTGATTTGGGGGTGTTGCAAGATGCAGAGGGCTCTTCAGGATTGACTGGCAGGCCCTGAGAATGGCGGTACTGCACCACGTTACGCCAGATGCGCAATTCCACTCCCCCTCTGCCACAGGTAGAAATCAATTAGAAAAACTTTTTGGGCTAAGGTTGAGAACAAAATACATCTTTGGTAGTTTTGTCAAACTATGAAAAGCCCGACTACCCTAAGAATTTACTTAATTTGGACTGCAAAAGATCACATCTCTATTATAAAAGAAAAAGAAGATCTTCCAAGGCATCGTCTTCGTATCCTACAAATTTCACAACAAAACAAAATCTCACCTCATCTGCATTCTCCTGAGGTCATCTCTAGTCATCCAGAGAAGAACATCATCTTTGGTATAGTCCTCAGCTAGAAACTGGAAATGAGAGAAATTTGAAGTCTGGAAACTAAAATCAGAGACCATAAATAAAAATGTGACTGTGTGTGTGTGTGTGTGTGTGTGTGTGTGTGTGTGTGTGTGTGTGTGTGTGTGGTGTGTGTGTGTGTGTGTGTGTGTGTGTGTGTGCGTTCGAGTGGTGTGGTATGTGAATATGTGTATGTGTGTATGAGTGTGCATGTATGTGTATGTGGTATGAGCATGCATGTATGTGTATGAGTGTGCGTATATGTGTATGAGTGTGCGTGTATGTGTATGAGTGTCCGTGTATTGTATGAGTGTCCGTGTATGTGTATGAGTGTCCGTGTATGTGTATGTGTCCATGTATGTGTATGAGTATCAGTGTGTGTGTATGAGTGTCCATGTATGTGTATGAGTGTCTGTGTATGTGTATGAGTGTCCGTGTATGTGTATGACTGTCCGTGTATGTGTAAGAGTATCTGTGTATGTGCGTGTAAGTGTGTGTGTGTGTGTGTAGTGTGTGTTCGTGTATGTGTGTGTGTGTGTGTGTGTGTGTGTGTGTGTGTGTGTGTGTGTGTGTGTGTGTGTGTGTGTGTGTGTGTGTGTGTGTGTGTGTGTGTGTGTGTGTGTGTGTTCGTGTATGTGTGTGTGCGTGTATGTGCGTGTGTGTCACTGTGGAAAAGTGGATTACGGAAGGCAGTTTATATCATAATTCATTCAATCTAATGATGCAAAATTCTTTGAAGAGTTTATCTTTAAAATTCCATTTGATTTGTACAATTCACTGATTTTCTTTACATTTATACAATGAAATGTTAAGTTTATATTCATTATATCTATTTTTAGTTTGTTTTTCATGTTTGCATAAAATAATAATAAATAAATAAAAAAATAATCTAAGAATATTGACCTCTTGGACCCAGATGACATTGTGGTCACTTCAAGGAAAACCTTGGCAGCTGCCAGGGTGACGTGAATAAGTCAGGGTGACGGAAAAGACTTGCCATGAGTGTCAAACCCTCTTGGAGTGTGATTTGACTCATTTTGGCATTTAAAAGGGGGCTTTAGCATTATTCCCAATAAATGAATGTGGAATGTAACGTGCGTAAGCAGAGTGACTGAAAGATCGCGGATTCCCTAGGAGGACGCACTTCCATACGTGCACCATTTTCCTGCCGCGTGACTGGCAGCACAGGTTGTATTACATAAAATTTCTTGCACTGAGCTATTTAATACATAAGAGATAATATGAAGTCTGTGCAAGGAAAAATAAGTAATTACCATCTGTTAAAACAAATCAAAAGACAAATACAGACACTGGAAAATGACAAAGTTTTTAAAAACTTTACACAAAATAACTTTTCAAAGGGGAGGCACAATTTTGTCACCCTCATGGGTGTTCGTGCGTGGCCAGCCTACGCGCCACATGCCCAGGATGCTGGCCACTTACGCAACCCATTGCCCGGGGTTTTCAGCTCCGTGATTTCTGTCATACAACCGGATCCAAGGGGTTAAATGTTAAGATGAAGGGATCAGGAACTGACTGAATAAATGCTCTATCCTAACCTGATAATTGATAAATCAATTTGCTTAAGTATTGTTTTCAACATTTCATCACATCATCTGACTACTTTAATAAAAAAATCATGTGCCTATTCTACATAGATTTTTTCTTAACTGTTTACACAAAAAAACATTTTACCCAAATAGACAAATAATGTCATCCTTACTGCTTCACTGATATGTTGCAATATCATAATCATCAATATTTCATGCATTTACAGACTTCTTCCTTCTCTTTTAAAATTTGTACTTTGTAGGGGGTACTAAATTTTGATACCTGACTGGGAATCCATTTTTTCCACTGTCTACTGTTGGATGTTTGCACCAAATACTGCACATTACATTCATATTTTTTTCAGAATCTGGAACATCACTGCATGCAGTAATTTAGAAAAGCAGAACTGAACAATAAATGGGTGCACTGACACCATACTTCAAAATTCAAGTTAAGGTTTTCAGCACTTGGTCTACATACCTTATCAATAACATCACGATCAATTGACAGTGCCTGAAGCCAAGCAACCAACTCCATATCGATGTTGCGAGAGGACACGTGGATCATGGGGGGTTCATGAGGATTGTGGGCAAGTGATGGGGAGGCAGCATCCTCAGGAATACTCTGGTGGAGGGAGAGGGTTATGGGTAAGGAGAGAAATACACAAACTTCAAACTAAAGAAATTAGTACATGACACAGATAAGGTAAAATAGAAAAAAGGCACAGATTCACTGAGGCCTTAATATGAAAAAAAGAATAATGAAATTAATTCATAAATTACAAAAATAAAATGCTCTTTGCCAAACAATTAGAGCAATGCGGATAATACTCTTTCAATACCCTCACTCTCTCTCTCTCTCACCTCTCCAGTCACTGTCTCAGCACTTGATTGCGACCCCATGGTACCAGCAGGCGATTCTAACTCTTCTCCTCGGACTTCAACACAGCGTCTCTATACAAGTATTCTCTGCACTGCCGATATTCTGTGCTTTCAGCCACATTGTCACCCTCCGCTTTGCTCTCCTCTGGCTTAAGAACAGGTGTAGGGGCACACCCAACTCTGCTCAGCCAGGAGGCGGCTCTGTTACGCCGGTCAGACAGGTACATCTTCAGCAGGTCCCCATACCGTTTCTCTGCCAGAAGAGAGCTCTTCTAGCAACCTGAGGAGAAGATAGCGAATTGATCAGTGAAGCACAAAACCAGTTTGAGATTACAATAAAAATTCTAAATAAATCAATCTACAAGCAAAGATAAAGAAACTGGAGGTAATAAAGAAAAGGAAGAGAAAGAAAGGAAAACATATAGTCGCACTCACTCTCTCACTCCCTCTCCCCCCTGTTTCTCTTTACAAACAAAATCACACTTTCACTAGGCAAATCCACAGCTCTTCACAAACCTGAGATTCTCCGCCCTGGCTGCTTGGAACTTCTCCTGCAGCTGGTGGCACTGCTTTGAGTGGTGGAAGTCATGGAGTAACTTGGCCGACTTAGTAGAGTTGATGGTGGACACACCTGAAGTGCTGCCTTCCTCAACTGCATCATGTGGTCTCCCAGGGCTCCCCCCAGCACGCCAATGTTCCATCTGGGGAACCTAGTAGGCTCTCATGGTCTGAAATAATTTGTAAATGCAATAACCTGGATGAATGTTTGTTAAGATACCATTGATTTTATAAAAAAGAAGAAGAAAATTGGGTTACTTTCTAAAAATAAAGTTATAATATTTTTTGATGGGAATACTTTATATGTACTTGCAGTTTCAAAAGTTACAATGCTATATTTTCTTTTTGGTAAATATACTACAGTAACTAACCTTAGAATCACTGGTCTGTCTAGGAAGAGTTTATTTTCTAATAACATTCTTACACATCAGGTTCACTGGCAATATCAAAAACAGGATAGTCTTTCATAAAATCAAAGTATTATCGTATCTAGTGCAATCCTTTTGAAACAAGAGAACAGGATGTTCTGTGGGACATTGAAAAGAAAATAGTAATTTCCTCACCTGGAGAGAGAACAGTGATGGCACAGTGTACAGAGCTCCTCACCAGGTTGTCAAGGGCAAACATCCAGTGAGGTTTTATGCTGTGACTCTTTAAAACATCATTCACTTCTGAAGGAAGTGGAGAGAAAATACTTTTAATTTTCCTTGAAATCTGAGGGTGCGCTGGAGTGAAGAAAGCAATAGTCAACAATATCACTGAATGATTACTGAATATTACAAAAGAAAATCAAACAAGTAAACAATAAAATAAACAAGAAAATAAAAATATACAACGCTCACCATCTTGGAAAAGTGTAAAGCGCCAAATGTATCTGATTCACAGTCTCTCAAATTCAGTCTCATTCTTGAGGGATGCAAAGGCTTGCTCTATGGCTAATTTCTTCTGCTCCGGGATGTATTCACGCAGAACCAACCATTATAACCACTAACTGGTCTGTTGAGAGAAAGCAAAGCATATTGTGAATCTTATAAAGGCAAAAGAGCCCCAGAACAAAATTACGCATCTAAATAAAAATACAAAATATTACTGTTGATGACCCTAAAGTCAAATAAGGGTTAGACCTACCTGAGTGAGTAATAACTTGGCACTGCCAGTTCCTGCTGCAGACGCTGGAACCAAATTTGAACAATCTTTTGTTGATCATGAACCAACACTTTGGTGAGAGTTGTCCGTCGCTGAGAATCTTTTTTCAAAAGGTAGAATCCATCCTGCTCCTGGGGATAATAAGATATACTTTACCACAAACCTTCTCTCTCCTTTCACATGTATATACATCAATTTTTAAAAAACTATGTTCTACTTTCAGAAGACAAAAATTCAAAAGGATACATCTACTACCTTTGACTTCCAGCAAACAGTCCCTACAAATAACTTTCTATTATTCAGTGATAATGATAATGAACACCTTTATTTAGTCTTAGAAAATTGTACTAACTTCCATATGCGTTTTAGTATCACATCAAGACCAAGGGTGGTATTCACAAAAAGTCACAGAGTCTGGGATTTGTCTTTGACAGAATAATAGCAGAACAGAGAACAACATCAGAAGCATCCTCATCACTCACCCCATCTGTCCTTGGTGACTCCACATCAGGCGAGAGAAGACCACTGCTTGAGGAACGTCGGGTCATGAGAGCATCATCGAGATCAGAACCAGTCATAACTGAGCTGTTTTATGAAAATGGTAATGCTTTCACAAACAACTTTTTAGTACTTGATTTTCAACAGAAGAAGGCTATGTGAAGTCAGTTACAAATTGGTTGAGTCTAGGAATTGGAATATGAGATCATAAGAAACTTTAACAAAAATAACACAGTATTTACTTGACATAAACATGGGATTTTAGTAAACAGTATTTACTTAAACAATAAATATGGATTTGAAAGCTCTGTTCATATATAAATACAAACTAAAGATGACAGACTGTGAATTCCTCTATTCAGGTAACCTAAATAAAATATTGTGTTACAGCTACTTTTTCATATCGGGAGAAATATTAGTATTCTAAATGATGAAACTTACAAAACACTGAATGCACTTCCACTACAAGTATCATTAATACCTTTTATGTCTGACATTTTGAGACCCATAAAAACAAGGGGCTTATATCCAAGAAATACTGTTTAATGATGCTATCAAAACATAACTAAAATACATTGTGGAAATTGTTAACCAAAGACAGTAAAAAACACTTCAAATCTATCAGTGCTTTTTACTATAACAACATGCAAGTCCTATTATTATTATCAATTAATTACTTTATGCTATTACACTGAAACCTCACACTGTCTCTATTTTTAGCTTTAATCTAGGCATCTAATTCTATTGCAAAAAAAATTTAACATATGCATCATATAACACTACAAAAATAAGACCACACCAATAACTATGAATCACATATATATTATAAAAAACACTTATGCAATGCTCATGAAGCTTTGAGAATCACCTTTATTACATTTCAAAAACAGTGAAGCCACAATATTTAATAAATTAATGAATAAATAAATAAATCACATCTTTACACTGAAATTATCAATCAAGCACAAATCAAAAGTCAATCTAGAATGCATTATATCTCATTAAATCAAAAAAAGCATATGGACAATACAAGTGCACACACAAAGATTTACTTTTGGGGAAAAAAAAAATCCTGTACTCTAGTATATCAGCAAAAAACATATCAAGTTTTAATGATAAAAAATAAGTGCAGAAAAGTGAGCCTGTAGGTTGTTTACCTGGTGTATGAGAGAGATGAGAGGTAGGAGGAGGGGGAGGCTGGGGAGACACTGGGGCTGCCAGCTGTGTTGCAACGGGAACCATACCCATACCCGAACTCTAGGCTAAACACAGAGAGGCAGCTATCACACACATGCCAAGGTACAGTGTGGTGGTTGAGAAGGCTAAAGGTAGGAGATAATCTTTTTTTTCTTCATTTTGAGGGCAGAAGGGCAGAGCAAAAGCAGCAAAATTGAGAGTGAGGGGAGATTTTGAGAGATGAAATATGCCTGGTGAGAGATGATGGGGAGGGGGTTAAAGTCAGTTTTTATTTATTCACTTCATGTTAATTATAAATGAATCATTAAAGCTTTATATTAGCTGGTGAAAGCCGTAAATGTTTTAAAAATTGCTTAGCTCCTTAAATGTGCCTTGTGAAAGAACAAGGAAAAATTAACAGCACACGTAAAAAAAGTACTTGTAGTTATTTAATTGAAAAGAAGAGTTCTGTCAAAAAGTGAATAGAGTGCAACTGATAAGGAAAGGTGATTATTGTAAGGCATGGCAACAAACAGAAAAAATTAGAACCTATTCTATTTGATGGAACCTTCATAAGACACAGGAAATTATTGCATATTTCTTTGCAATTGCCCTAATAATGACAATAATAATGACAGCAAAAATAGGGAGGGTTACTCCCACAGTGGAGATAATCAAACAATATTTTATTCCAATACCCAATCTCTGCCTCATCTTGAAGAAAGAGTAAACAAAATAGTTCAAATATTTTTTGTAACAGTTATATTCCTTTTCAACCCAAGAATCCTCACTCTACAAGGACATCTTTTCTTTTCCACATTGTACCACCAAACAAAGAAAACCCATAGCAGCGTATAAATGCTCACCTCACAAATATTGGGATCATAAATGCTAGGATGGATATCAGAATGCATGGTGCTAAGAATCTAGAGCCAAAGCAGTGTTATATATATATGAGAAAGAAAGGAAGGTCAGGAGGGCAGGAAAAGGGAGAGAGAGAAAGAGAGAGAAAGAGAGGGAAAGAAAAAAAGAATGAGAGAGAGAAAGAAAGAAAGAAAGAAAGAAAGAGAGAGAGAAAGATAAAGAAAGAAAGAAAGAAAGAAAGAAAGAAAGAAAGAAAGAGAGACAGAG